CCCGGGGGCAGGCGGGAGAGCCCTGCCCGTGGAGGGGCCGGTGGTCAGCACGCTTCGTTCCCGGCTGCGGCCAACATCCCCGGGCTTTTCAGTGCACTTCGTGCCGTAGCTGTTCCATAAATAGGGCTAATGCGGGTTTACACAGTTATTTTTTCCTAGTTAAAAGTCTGTGATGCAGTTAAAACCCACAGGGATTTTTTTTTTTTTTCCTGACAGCACTTGTTTACAGGATTAAGCTTGATATTTGATATTTATTCTTTCTGTATTGTTACAGAAAAATGGAAATCGCCACCCCTCCAACGTCAAAGTGTATTATATACTGGAAAAGGAAAGTCAAGTCTGAATATATGCGCCTTCGGCAGCTCAAGAGGTTTCAGGCGAACATGGGAGCTAAGGTAAAGCCATAACGATGTAGCTCTCGCTGAAAGGATATCTCCTAAAGACTTCCTTATAGTATTAGAGCAGCTGTCAGACGGGTGCTTCGTCCTGTGAATTGCAAAGCTGTATTTTAGTTGTAAGCTGGATAAGTTTGAAGAGATACTACTTCTCCTCATGCTCCGTTATTAGCCTAGAGCCGTGCAGTCAGCGTCTGTTGTACAGACAGACAGGTCCCTTGGCTGCGTGCTTGTGTAACTGCAGCGAGAGGACTCGTTTCCACTTGCTCTGTAAAGTCTCTCCTTGCTTGAACCCTCCCAGTGCTGGTGGGTTTCAGATGACTCGCTCTGATGCTCCTCTCCTTGGCAGGCAGGATTTTAGAAGAGGCTGGCTGGGATCAAGAGTTATCAAAAGCTCCTGGCTGTTGGGTAGTTTTTCAGCACAGTTGTTTGTGGTTTTGCGTGGTTTTTTTCCAGCACGGTACCAATGCAGAGTTGAATTAGTATTTCTTGTAATGACTGTCATCACTTTGAAATGCTCTGGCTTGCATACATTTTGATACTTGAAACAAAATCTCAGGAGGGGTTTTAGTGTTCTCCATGTGATTTCTTAAATTCTGAGTGCTGCTCTCTCTCCTTTCAGGCTCTGTTTGTGGCCAACTTTGCAAAGGTTCATGAAAAGACTCAAATTCTGAATGAAGCCTGGAAGAAGCTGCGAGTCCAGCCGGTGCAATTGATGAAGCCAGTCAGCGGGCACCCATTCCTAAAGCAGGTGTGGAGAGGAAAAGGGGCACAGCAGCAGCAGGGCTGGATTAGAACCAGGGCTTTGCAGGGAGCTGTGAGGATACAGGGTCTTTTTTTCAGTGTGCTGTCCTGTGTCAGTGTCAGGCCGTGCCTCGCACTCTTCTGAGATGCAGAAATGAGGGGAAAAAAAAACCCCAGACAAACCCAAAGGCCTTTCCTGTGAAGGAGTCCCGTAGAGTGAACGCAGGGCTTTGCTCTTGTCTGCCTGAAGTGCAATTTCCCTCTGGCTGTGAGTGCCTCCCAGGGGCTGTTTCCTCACTGCCCTTCTCTGTGCTCATATTCCAGTGTACCGTTGAGAGCATTTTCCCAGGATTTCCAAGCCAGACGCTGTACATGAGGACCCTGAACACAGTGGCACTGGTGCCCATTATGTACTCCTGGTCCCCTCTTCAGCAGAATTTCATGGTACGTAGGAAGGCTCTGGGATGCAAGGTCTTGGTGTGATTAGTGTGCAATCGTTACATGGTTGTGGAGCGATAAACCTTTTTCAACCCACTTGTTTCAAGTGATTTCTGCTCGAGAGATGAGTTTTAGTTGATTTTTCTGTTGAATCTCATAAACCAGCCTTGTATCCGCACTGTCTTACCCAGCTAGTCTCTCTTTCACAGCTGACTCCTTGATCGGACCACCATTATTTCACAGGATTCAAAGAGTAAATATGTTCTTGGGGGTTTTTTTGTTTGTTTTTTCTTAAGATTTTTTTCTTCCCTTTTAAATTAACAGTTTTATTTCTTAGGCAGGTCCTTTCCTTTGCGACTGGATTACCCTGTTGGCCTCGTTGTAAGGATGCTACTGAGGATCAGTTCCTCTATCATAGTAGTGTGGGGAGTGATTTAAATGCAGATTTTGGTGCAGCGTAGTTAAGATTATTTGTTAAACAAACAGGTGGTCTGTGGCTAGCCTGGCTCTTTGCCCGCTGTGGGGTGTGGATGTGTTCCTGCAACCTGCAGGGCTCGCTCTGAAGCCTCCCGTAGCAGATGGGGGGGAGTAGCGTGGCACCAGCAACTGTAACGCAAGGAGTCGGTCGGTGGTGGCATGGCAATGAGGGTCCAGTGTCCTTGCTCCTGTGGTTAACACGAGAACGCTCCTCAGCTTTGGCTGTGTTCCTCCAGGGAGTGAGTTACCAGTTTGCCTTTCACTGTTCCAGTTCTACCCTGCCTTGAACGCAATCTCTCTGACATTTTTTGGCTGTTTGTTATTCTTGGCAATGTGGATGTTTCTGAGTTTCTGTAAGCCTTGGAGGCACAGCTTTTTTTTTTTTTTTTTTTTTTAAAGCAAATTGCACTTTCAGGGGTCAGAGTTAATGCTGCTGGCATGGGATAACAATGTCGGTGTTGAGACATCTGAAACTGCAGCCGGGGAGGCTGAATCTTTGCTTTGCACTGTTTTGTCTGTGGGTCTGAATGGACAGGAGCCACCTCAGACACATGGCCTGGCTGGGCATCGGCAAGCGCTGGTTTTCTGAATTGTATCTGATCTCTTTTCAGGTGGAGGATGAAACTGTTCTGTGCAATATCCCTTACATGGGAGATGAGGTGAAGGAAGAAGATGAAACTTTCATTGAAGAACTTATTAATAACTATGACGGGAAGGTTCATGGAGAGGAAGGTAACCTGGGAGCAGTCAGCACTGTCCATTCAGTCTCTTGCAAATACATATCAAAGTAGTTGAGAAGTCAAAAGGTGGCAGCAGTCACCAGCTTTTCTGTGGGAGCTCTTAGAGCAGAAAAACAGGAACATGCCTGCTCTTCTAGTTTGCAAGGGCACAGTCCTGCCTTTTGATATTCTGCTCCTTTCTAGGCCTGGGGTGCTCTGGAGCCAATGCTTTTGTTCACAGGGGTTCACAGGAGTCCTCTGGGGTGCTGAAAAACGTGCTAGAGGTTAGGAGGAGCTCAGCAACCTTGTGAATCAGCCTTTTCAGAAATGAAAAGCCAGTGTGTTTCCCTTCGGTGCTGCCTGCCCCATCATAATACTCTGCCTGGAGGGAGGAAGGCAGTGGAAAACTCTGGAATGGCCTGTCCTCAGATTGCTAAAAGTGATACACCACTCTTGGGACTCATTCAAATCCCACCTATGTCTACAAAATTGTGAGACAGGTTCTAGTTGCCAACACTGTCGTGTTGTTGGCTTGTGATTTACCGTGAGGAGTGTAAAAGATGATGGCACGCCCACAAATTGGCTGACATCTCTGTGTTTCAGAAATGATTTCAGGGTCAGTCCTCATCAGCGATGCTGTATTCCTGGAGCTAGTGAACGCCCTGAATCAGTACTCAGACGAGGAGGAGGAAGGACACAACGATTCTGAGGTTAAACAGGAGGATGGGAAAGAAGAGCTGCCAGTCACAAGGAAAAGAAAGCGAATTGCGGTGGAAGGTGGGTTTGGCCTCAGAAATTGGGGCTGCATTGGTGATGTTTCTATCCTGCCCTGCCTGAGTAGCTGGCCAGTGCTCTCCTGCCATCACTCTTGGTTATTATCGTGTCGCTAAGGGCAGTAACCAGCTTGGCAAGTTCTGATATGGTAGTCAAAAGCAGAAGGGAAATCGGTTGTTCTCACTGTCCCCCTGTGGACAGGATAAGAAGTCAATAGCTTAAAGTGTGGGAAGGAGTAATTTCGGTGAGTCATCTGGAAAACCATTTCATGGTAAGATCAGCAAAGCGGTGGGGTATTATTTGAGGAGGCTGTGGGATCTCTGTTCTTGGAGGTTTTAAAGTGCCGGTCTGGCAAGCACCGGTGAGTATGTTTGTAGATCTAATGCTGCTGTAGACCAGGGAGGTGGACGTGTTCAAATCCCTTCCAGACCCATTTTCCATGTATTAGCATTCCTCTTCCCTCTCGTGTGCCACCTGGAGTTCTTGTTGCACAGAGGCAGCTCTGGTTTGTGGGATTTTCATGTGTCCTGCATGACCTTAGGAATGCTGACTGGTAGTTTCATCTTTGTCTTTGGTTTATAGTGATACGGGTAGCAAAAATACCAGGACCTTTTGCAGGTGTAGAAAAGCATTGTCTGCAAATCCTGTCTTGCTAAAAATAAATAGTAATTGTCCTTAAGAAATCGTTAGTGCTTCCATTGATACATTAGCTACTCTGAAAGTGGCAGTGTGTGCTGCGTCTGGTAATGCCTTAGCCTAGTTGCAGGACAACAAGTTTATCTGTTGTGTATGAGATTACATTTCTGTCTCTTAAAATACAATCCTGAACGCCTCCTGGAATCGCTCTCTGTGGAAGAAGAAGGAAAGACACATTCACATCCAGCTTAACTGAGGAATTGTCTCCTTTTTCTTAGGTAACAAGAAGTGTTCAAAGAAGCGGTTTCCAAATGACATGATATTCACTGCTATTTCTTCTATGTTTCCTGAATACGGCTTTCCAGATGATATGAAAGAGAGGTAGAAGATCTCTACTTAAGTTGTCTGTTACCTTTCTTAGCAACAACTGAAATCAGTGTTTTCTAAAACAGCGCTGTGCTCTGACCAGAAAGCAGAGCTCAGTTGGCTGCAGGCACCGTGAACAGAGCGGGTTTTGAGCGTTAGACATTTTAGTTTAGCCTCAAGGTATCTCGGCCAGAGTCCTACTGGCCCAGATAGTAATGTAGTAGTGTAAAATGACCCAAATTAGGAGAGCATGCACATCTGTGGCTGTTTCTGTTTATTGAATAGGTACCGGGAGCTGACGGAAGTGTCAGACCCGAACGTGCTGCCGCCGCAGTGCACTCCCAACATAGACGGGCCGTGTGCGAAGTGGGTCCAG